TTAAATACAATATTATATGTATATTTATCAACAAGAAAATGATTAAACCTAATACTATTGAGCTATGTTGTTCAATCTATCGAATTATTCTCATTGTTTAATTGTACCTATATCGAGTCTATGATACAAGGCTGCCATGATTGAGTGACAACGTTATTCGGCTGGTATACACAAAGTACTGTGCCCAAGTGTCAATATCATCAGTAATGGAACGACTTTGGACCAGTTACTAACTGTGGTTTGTCTCAGATCACCTATTCGATAGCATGCTGACCACATTGTGACATACACTTGCTCTTGTGGTTAGTCAGTGTCTACGAAGAGCTCAAGCGATTGAGTACAAAGACTCTGCGTCAGGCCAACCTTCTATTCAGAGTTACAGCTATTCATAATTATAGGGAAGAGATTGGGGAAATGAATCTACCACTTGGTAGCAATCCACACCGCAAGATAGTCGAAAGGCAGAGACATTCTTCTTTGTCTCTTATACGAGTCAGTTTTGACACGTATTGATAAAAGGTCTTCTTAATGAAGTCTATGTTTAATATTCGTGAGAATTTGTTTCAATTATTGAAAAATATGTTGATACAAATTACATTGATTTTTCATATTTCTTAGGAAGTATTATTTTATATAATTAAAGTTTTGATTTTCTTTAGAAATAAGTTTATAAATTCAAGTCGAATCTATGAGTATATTTGAACAAGTCAACTATATGCTCAAAAAAAGGTTCTTTCTCATTATATATTAAAAAGCATCATACCTATAAACTCTAAGAAAAACATTCACTCTAATCATTGACTGTTTTTTTCATGAATTCAAATTATTGATAATGTTGAATAGATTCATAAAATTCAATTTATAAGTCATAAGATTATAAAAACTAATTTACTATGTAGTCAATAGACTTCTTAAAATCAAGTCTGATGTTTTCCATATTTTATTTTATCGAATATTTATAAAATATTGTATAAAAAAGATTAGTTTATATAAATAGTATTATATTTCTCAGCTTTATGATATTAATCTTTGATATCAATTGAAATCGATTTTGTTCTTACACACAAAAAATAAAATCATTATTGATAATTTTCATTTAATCAACACAATTGGATCCATTTTACATTATCATCTCATATTATCTTGTATTGAGTAAGTTCAAAAAAAGTCGAACAACAATAGCAAAGAATCTGTTCTTTTTTTTTCTCGAAAACAATTGACTACTGATAATACGTAAAAAAAATTATCAAAATTAGATTTTAATTATTATAGTGATCTTTAAATAAGAAAACATACAAATCAATTATTTGTATTTATTTTGAAAATGTAACTAAAATTCAAGTGATAATACTCTCATTGTAAGATTTCATATTATCACAAATCAGAATGATTTTTTAAATTGTTAGATTTAATTTATATTTAATGGATATAAAATTTATTCTTTCAATAGTTCAAATTATAATGAAATAAAAGTTTTAATTTGTGAATCTTGTTTTGAATCATCTTCACAATCAAATTTTTATCATTTTTCGATTAAACTTCTTGATATAGAAACAAACAAAAAAATATATTTTATGTGATTAGTAAACAATTGAAGTTTGATATTCGTTCATTTGAATTTCATTCTAATCTATCAATATTTATTGATCAATCAAGATGAATTCGATTATATTGTTGAGGAACATTATCATCAAGAATATTCATATATTAGTTATGTTCTATCTAATTTAACACAATATCGATATAAATATTTATAAAAATAGATTAAAAGTTTTCAGGAATCCGAATCTATAGGAGATTTTTCAATTTTCTCCGACTGAAGAAATTGAAATGAGTCTAAGACCATTATATTTTTATTACACATTCACCATCATTCTATACGTGTCAACAGTGAAAAAAGTATGGAATATCTTCAAAATTGATCAATAGATTACTAGTCGCCATTAGTTGTATACATGAAAAAGATATCGTTCGAATTTTTTAATTAACAACCAGAAAAATTCATCATCACCTTGGAATTGAAATTCATTTTAATGGAAAATTAGTGTCTTTCTCTATGCTTCTATAATATAACTATTATTCAAAATGTTGATAAATTTGTTCAATTTTCATTATTAAATGCTCTAGATCAAGCATCATTTATTGGAAAAAAAGATTCAGTACGTATCGAAACTAGTGTAGCTATTGAAAACAAGCCTAATAATTTCATATAATAGAATGAAAGTAATCATATCTTCTTCCATAGTCAAAGAACACAAGACACGTTTCATAGTCAATAATAAAATCTGACGTCATACACTGGAAAAGAGAACAACTCAACAGATGTATGTTTTCAGACGTTTTGCAAAAAAAAAAGGAATGATGCAAGAAAAAAAGTCTGGTCCCTATGAGGATCGAACTCATGACCTCCGCGTTATTAGCACGGCGCTCTAACCGGCTGAGCTAAGGGACCATGTCAATGCCATTTGGAAAATCGTATATGATTTTTATCACATTGTACATAGTCATGACTGAATGAAATTCGACAATCACATCCTTTTTATTATTTATATGTGTATATTGAACTATTATATTAATCGATATTCTATAAGCCTATTATTTCTAGATGCTTGGATTTTTTGATCGATTAGACAAAATTCTTTTCGACAGCAAACAAACGAAGTTCTTACCTAATTTTCAAGAGAACTGTCACATGGTGTCTGTATATACAAGATTACATATATGAATGAATAACAATATTTTGATATGATTGATGCAAAATATTGAAAATAGACTTAAACAATTTCTAAGTAGTATATTTATTAATCCAAAATCGACATTTGCAATAAAAAGAAAATCATTTTCTGGTATGGGGCAAGTTCAATGATATAAAATGCAATCCATCCTAACCTACCATTCATTGAAATATTATATTAAAAATATCTTTCCACAGTTTGTAATGGTTCACTCAAGTTCTATGTGATAAAAATACTTTTTAATTAAGAATCTATGTTCAAAATACGATAAACATTTGAATAAAAATGGTTGAGCTGTTCTAAAGCTATTCATGACGAAATTTTAAATATGTCGTTCTACAAAGTGAGTAAAAGTTGCAATTTTAGAAAAGAGTTCACTTTTTTTTCACAGAATATGAAGAAAAGTTATTGACAAAGGAATCATCTCATATGTTAAGTAGCTTTTGAGCTGAAATTTTGTTCATCATTAGAGAATGTATAGACTAAATAAAGCTTAAGAGGATATGGATCAGAGATGGAACCGGTACCGGTCTGCCGGTCCAAACCGGTCTACACCGGTCTATACTGGTCTATATTTTTCACTTTCCTGCTCTATGATTGTATTCAAGGTAGGAAGGTAACCCACCAAAGAGTTCACTGCACAAGATTTCATTTTAAGCTTCAGCCTGTTGTCTGTAGCTCGATATTTTATCGATAGGTCGGGTTTTCCTGATAAACTAGCGTATCACCAGTATCCTGTCACTATCGGTAGACCGGTCCGGTCCGGTCCGGTCTACCTTTCTCCAGACCCGCACCGGTACCGGTCTGAAAAAAGGTAGACCGGTTCCATCTCTGATATGGATACAAGTTGTGATTTGACTGAAATATCGAAATTTTACTATAATTTTCTAACAGGATCTCACTTTTGCATTAGGATCAAAATTTTGAATTTTCGATCTGAAACTATGTCCATACCAAGACTTAAAGAAAATTGTAGTAAAATGCTAGTATCTCAGCCGAATCACAACTTGTGTCCATATCCTTTTAGGCACTCGCTGGTTTTTACAACCTCTTTTTGTGAACACAATTTCAGCTTAAGAGATTCTTAGCATCTGGGAAGGTCCCCTTATAAGAGATAATTTTTCTATTAATTTTATTTTCCGAAAAATGATCTTTCTTTTCAATAGCTTCGTTTTTCTTCGACTTGTGTACAGACACAAAAGAAATTGAAAAAATATTGTCGTTCTACACAAAAATGAAAAAACATTCGTCATACAATATTTTGGATGATTGACATGGAAAGAGAAGGAGACAAGCGAGAAAGATATATGATTCAGCAGAACACTGAAAGCTCTACAAAACGAACTATTCGGTACCTGTTTTTTTGGATTCTCAGCAGATTTCATTTTCTTAGTGTATCACCCTATCAAAACACGATTTTTTCACAATATGAGCTGCATAAGTCTAGAACAGCATGATCTAGAAAGCTTAAATTTTTTTTGGATGTAGAATATTCAGAGACCCGTAATATATTAAAAAATTTTTGAAATCGATCACTGAGAACACAAGTTATTAGTCAAATATCGCTGAAAACCTAAATCATATCAAAAAGTTACAATTCATTCATATATAATAAATGCCTATACATGATTTATTCCTCTCTACACGACAATAAGTAATCGGTAATAACGTTCGATTTAATGAACGAAAAATATTTCATTCAGATAATGCATCAATTACATGCTAATATCAAGTAATTGCACAAATTTAATATTAAAAGTATATCTATAGACTAATTCAGTGAGTGAAATAGTAACTAGTGTTATAATATTTCCAAAAAAAGGACGGACATCAACAAGTAAAACAATTATTAGTTCCATGTAATGAATATAAATTAGTCGAAAGACAATAATTAGTAATACTGTAATGTAAATTGATTATTTCTATTATCTGTTTTTTTCTTTTTTTATTGTAACTACTCTCTGTATTTCATCTAACTTCGATGAAATTAGATATCTTTTTGTTATAGTATATTATTAAAAGTTTGAAATAAAAATAAAACAGCAACAAAATGAAATATCTTTGTTGATCTATAGTAAAGACTACGGTTAAATCTCAAGTATTAGACTAAAAATGCCAGAAGATAAGAATCTGAAGAAAAAAAAGGACATCGAAAAATATTGATTAGTGCTACAGCATGATATTATTTATTCTTTTTATGCAACCACTAATTCATTTAAATTTAAACAAAAAAAAGCACTATTATAGTTTATGATGTTAATGTAATTAAGACCAGTAAGTTTGATGAATTTTGACAGCTTCATCTTCAAGAATAGGACCAATAACAGTAAATTTAGCTGCTGGTAAAAGTTGTCGACAAGATAAGAGGCCATCATGACCTGCATATTTCTAAAAAAACAAAACAAAATTTTAAATTTTATCATTTTCTTTATTGAGACATAGTCATCGATATTTTTCCATTATATGATATTTACAAAGATGAATAATATTTTCATCTTAATTTTCTAATAAAATATAATCATTTCGATAATAATACAATAGACAAAATTATTTTTCTTAAAATCTCTCGTTTTAATAATATTTTTTCAAATTTTGAATTCTTACTATGTAATTGTATACTTACTCCTAATGTTTCAGATGAAAGAGCATAGACTAAATTTCGAATACCACTCCAAAACAAAGCACCTGTACACATTAAACATGGTTCACAACTAGTATATAATGTACATTGTTCAAGAATATTTCGACTAAATTTTTGTGAAGCCATACTAATTAAATTCAATTCAGCATGACGAGTGACATCATTATTAGGTATATGAATTGTATTTTCGGCAGTCAATAATACTTGTCCATCTTTTGATACAAGACAAGCACCAAATGGATGATTTCCATGTTCGACTGCAGATAATGAAAGTTTAATAGCTTGACGAATGAATGGTGCATGAATATTCTCATCAATTGAAGACGACATTGTTTTTTTTTTTTCTTTTACAAAAAAGACAAAAGAAAAACAACTTTCATCAAGTGAATCGTTATCTATACTAACTACCTATCCACTGATGTATCGAATGAACTTAACTTTTAATGAGTAATACTAAATGCATCATGTAGATTTTTTTTCTATAATTGAGTCGTCAATCAAGATTTATATATATATTTTCAGCTTCAGCTAGATATTAATAATATTTGTAAAAAAAAATATTAAACTGATCATTTTTAGAAAAATTAATAGATGACGCACTCTACCAATTTTTTGTCATGTATGGTGTCATAGACATAGCACTAGCGAATGATATGAATATAATAGAGCAGATAAAAATGGCTAAGACAAAAATATGATATATAACGATAGTGTAAATTGTGCTTAATTTTTCTATGAAAAAAAATCTTTCTAATTGATTTGCTTATAAATTATGTGAATACGTGCATTAGTGGTTTTTATTTTAGAAATCATACAATGAATCATTCCTATCAGCTAGTATAACACTCACTCAATCCATACATCGCACAACACTCTGAAGTATATATTATCTATCTTCACTTTAAAAAATTTACTCGTTAAATATCAACCAATAATTTAAATTCAATTTATCGTCTTATGAGAAGATGTCATTACTATTTCTTTAACCTGCCAAAATGAAAAATTTCTGTTGGATGACAAAAAAGCAATCAATTTTATACTTGAATAATATCATTATAATATATTCATTTCAAGTGAAAAAAAATCTTTCTTTCAATTTTAAGATTATTTAGTTTCATGTACTTACGTCATGTTTTTTTAAACTTGAAATCGATTGTTTATCTACGTTCTCAAGTAATTCATCCTTTAATTTATTTAATAATCGTATCTAATATATTTTTATTTCATATTTTATAGACAATCGACAAATTTATTCATCGTTCATTGACACATCATATTGATAAATATGAAAAATCAAATTCAATAAAATTCTCTCATGAAGAAACTAATCCTAACAAAGAAAAAAGTGACAGTAACTTAGTTGTAGTGCCAAAAGGTGCTCGAAAAGCTGCACAGGAAGGATTATCATTTGTTGAGAAAATCATCAAAAAATATTTACCATCTCGTATTAATTCACTTCTTATTCTTGTACATAATTATTTGTATTCTTTTTTTTTCCTCTTTAAAACAAAAAATTCTTCTTTATATTAGGTTCTCGCTGGTATTGGTTATGTAATTATAGCGCAAGCAAAAAATGATTATGAAATTAAACGAACATTTCGTAATGGTTCTTGTCCAACTTATAAATTTAGAGAAGAACAATTACTCGAACGAAAAGAATTATTAGATACACTTTTGTCAATTGTTAAACCTGTTACTAATAAACTTGTATCATCATATTATATTGTAGTTGGTGATCATGGAACTGGGTAAGATTCAATAAATAATTATCAAAAAAAAAATTTTATTTTTTCTATATAGAAAAACAACATTAATTCGTCAAGCAGCACGACAAGTTGGTCGAGGTGTTATTTATGTTGATAGTTCGTTATGATTTTATCTATAAAAAGAAAAGAATTTATTAACATTTCTAGTTCCATATAATGTTGAAAAATTTGGTTATGCATTTGCACGTGCAATAAATTTTCATTTTAAAGAACATATTCTTCTATCAGCATGGATTGAATCAAAAATGTTTGGTTCACCACCTGATGATGGTAAAAATTAAATTGAATTTTTTTTGTTTATCTTTCTATTAAATTATTTATTTTTCTAGATAAACAAGAAAGTTGGGAACGTGCATTAATTACATTTGAAAAATATGCAATTGATTTTAAAAGAAAATATGATTGTGTACCAATATTAATTTTTGATAATTGTGATTCACTTGCACAAAAAGATAAGAGAATGCTTGAAATATTACAAGATACAGCAAAGACAGCTATTGATGATTCAACATGGATTACAGTATTTGTTGGATCAATTGGAGAAGCACCAGAACAAATGGAAGGTCTGTGATTTACAAGTGAACATTTCCAACAGTCTAACCGCTTGAGACTATTGTCATTCGATCGATTATGAAAAAGTCTAGTTTTTCGGTCTTTACTTCTTGAGTTATGGACATTTTACTTGATTTTCCTTCTATGAGTATAGGATCCCTGAGAATTTGTATGACCAAATTTTGAGCTAGGACAAATGTATCTGTATCGAGATATCAGCTTGTCATAGAAAGGTTCTTCTTTTGAAGCACAGTCCAAAACAGGCGTTTCTTTGAGATATTCGTTCAGGCTCAAACTATGAGATGCTACTAATGACTTTAAAGTAGTGTCCTACACGAATACGACTTTTTGAAACTGGAGCTAATCGACATCCAGCGGATACTTTAAACAACAACAAAAAAGCAAATGAATCAAGTCATTCATGATTCACTTGGCGTCTTTCTGATTCTAAAACCCGATCGTTTTTGCCAAGTATACGTTTGCTTGCTGCTGATGACACTCGAATGTAATACAACGTTGGTGTCAAACGTCATAATTGTGGATACATACATGAATGCTTTACATACTCACATTTTTTTATAATTCATTTTCTTCTCCATGTATTCAGTTAATTCGTTATATGATTCATCATCATTTGTAGATGAATTTCATTAAAAACGAATTCTATTAGTAAAACAATATTGTTTTCCACTTCCGTTATCTGTTCTTAAATACAATAAATTGTACAATCATGATCGAATTAGATTTCACTTCTATGCTTATATCTAAATTAGCAGTTTAAAAAAGTAAAAATATTTTGAAGTGTCGAAATCTCATTCATTACTACGTCGGGCTCAGGTATAGGATCATGCTCGGCAGTATCCGACATAGGTCACTTCTTTTGTTACCTGACCTAACCCGACCCGCGGTGACGGATAGTTTTTGACCAATCAAAGTGAGTTTTTTTCAGACATTGTCAATCTTCTCAGTAAATCGATACATATTCTATAGGTATTCGGAATTCGCAAACCTTTTGTGACCCGACCCGACCCGACCGGAGGTCAAGTATGTTTTTTCGTGACCCAACCCGACCCGAGTGGGACACTGATACCCGGCTCGATTTCAGGGCACTACTACAAGGTCTATCTATGGACAAAATCTCCGTTTGAAATTCGATCATCCATGTTCTTAGTGATTCTATACTCGATCATAGGACGATAATCGAGTAAAGTGCTCATAACTCGTCAAGGACAGATCGGAAAATCAGATATTGTCAGTATTCATCATAACCGATTGAATAGTCAAGTATGTCTCCTTGTTATTTCTAAGTCTTAGAAAATCGAAGATTATCTATATTAAACTAATATTCGAAAATTTTGAGATTCTTGAAATATATTTTGTTTAGACAAATATTAAATTAACATAATAATTATAATAATATACTTTTATTTTCAGGTCGAAGTAGTATTACTCGTGCTGCATCATTTATTGAAATAGCAGATCTATCAGAAAAAGAAGCAATAACTTATTTAACAGAAAAACGAAATTTATCACAAGATATGGCGAAAGATATTTATGCACTTTTTGGTGGCCGTATTAAACGTTTACAAAATGCTGCAAGTAAAATCGAAAGTGGTACATCATTTTCTAGTAAGTAACATCAAATATTTTTTTTTCTCTTTTGAATAAAAAAAATCTTCGGCGTTCGATTTTTCTTTCATTTAGCTATTCGAAAAGCAACTTTAAATGGTATAGCACGTCGAATAGAAAAAATTCGATGTCGAGTTAGTAATCAAGAAGAAGCATTTATTTTTAATATTCTTTGTGGTTTATTAAATCGATTTGAAGTAACTGTTGATGATTTAATTGAAATGGAAAAAGATGTTAATATAAGACAAAAAATTTTAGAAGAACTTCGTAATGAAACAATTCTTGCTCGAAATGTTACAAATGGTGCATATGTATTCCATGAACAAGCAACAAAAATGTGTGTTAAGGAATTTTATGAAGAAAAAAGATGTTTTCCTTGTAAATGGATCAAAAATATGAAATTTTAAAACATCTGTTTTTTTATATTTGTATAAAATAGTTTTATTAATCGATGTATCGATCAAGGAAATAAAATATAATGGTAATCAAGCAATAAAAAGAAAATAAACATAGATCTAAATCTCTGCTACTGTCCACGCTAGAATTAAGTAGTTGATGACCTGCAGTTTTCTACAATTGAAAGAGAAGAACTACGAACATCTGTTTGTAAAGTCGATTATCTTTGCAAAAAAAAATTCATGATAATGATGTTCTGTTTCAAGAAAATTTACTAGAAATCAACAGAATTCTATTTAATTTGATCTAATAGATACGTGATTTTGCTTGTTCAATAGTGAAATATGAGAAGACAAGGCATAAATATTACAATTGAATTGATAAGTTTTGTTACAATAAAATCATTTTTGATTAATAAATGCATTTTCAATCGAGTAAGTCATACAACATACATGATTTGATCATTTTATTTAATAACAAAAAAACAAATTAAGATTGATCTCACAAAAACAGAAAATAGTTCTATAACTTAAAACATTAACATATGTTAAAGCAAAAAATTTAACTCACAATTATTCTTTCCTATGTGGATATTGATACTAAACTTGTAGATCTTATATATGAGTAAAATCATCCGTTAGCAACGTTACACAAAAAAGGACACTCACTTTCACTTCATGCATTCTATTTTTAAAAAAAAACTCTGGATTGAAGCAGCAGTTTTGAAAACTAAATAGTACATTATGTAGACAAATTCTGAGGCTAGAAAATCCTCTAGTCAGTATTTTTTCTGAACATGCTTAGATTTTTCAAAAAAAAAAAATCGATTTACTTTTCGTTAGCGGCGTGACGTAGTACGAATATATAAACGAAAAAATGCTCTAATAACTGAATGAGAAATTTTAAATCAATTCCAAACGGTACAATACCTCCTTCAGAATCTCTAGAAAATTGATGGTTAAGAGGAAGATTTTTAGAGATCGATCTTGATGAAAATTTTACCATAGATGTAGTTCCCGTCGTAGAATGTATCCTAAAGTTTTCGGATTTTTTTCTCGTATAGTTTGAGAGATATTTGCTAATTACTTTTTTATTAGCAGGCAGCTGAATGCAACGAAGAGTTCGTCATTGTCCGATTCAAATAATAAAATTTAAGACAATAGATAAGTATTCGAGATACTAAAGAAGTTCAAGCCCTATTAGAATATATAATCAGTTAGTGATGATAAATAAGGAGGCTTTCATTGTAATTGATTTATTTTCTAGCTAGTAGGTGTAAGTTAAAACATAAATATATAGGCTCTTTTGAGAATATACAGTACCCGCCATAAGTGGGTACGAGCTCGTTTTCTTGTTCAATAATGATTTTTATTTTATCTTTTTGCTTTGTTTGAACGGGCTAGTCGGGCTCATCGTCCGGTATAAATAGGAGCATTTATATTCCTTCTGTTATCAATTTATAACTTAATAAACGAATAGGGGGTGGCGACTTAGTATTGGCGTTGGCATTAATTAACACTGATTCTAGAAACGCCACGCCTAGGGAGAGCAAGATGGAGCAAAAGTGTTGGAACAAAAAAGATGCACAAGGCGTATCTGCGTAGAATAATTACGTTAAATTTTTCAATTTAATAGATAATAATGAAAAATTTTTTAAAATAAATGCATTATCTTTTTATTTCGATATTAAAATTCATATTTCTCAATTATTATATGCATAATGGTATATTTTAACAAAAATGATCACAGCTATCCTATGCGGGTGCGCCTTGTGCATCTTTTTTATTCCAGCACTTTTGCTCCATCTTGCTTTCCCTAGGCGTGGCTTTTGTAAATTAGTATTAATTAATGCCAATGCTAATACTAAGCCGCTACCCCCTATTCTTTTATTAAGTTATAAATTGATAACAGAAGGAATATAAATGCTCCTATTTATACCGGACGATGAGCCCGACTAGCCCGTTCAAACAAAGCAAAAAGATAAAATAAAAGTCATTATTGAACAAGAAAACGAGCTCGTACCCACTTATGGCTGGTACTGTATATGATTAGCTATCTTGAATGTATTTTTACAATGACAATAAATTTAAAAAACCAAATAATATTATTTTTTTCAGGAATATATGTATACATTTATCATTTTTGATGTTTAATAGTAGTTTGAAAGAGCTATGATATAAGAAATATTGATGCTTAACATTCTATTTATTGAATAATGAACTATTTAAATTAATATTAAAAGTAATCTTTTGCTTGATATTACGAATCGAAAAGAATTAAAGGTATATTTTCCAATTCATTCGTCATTAGATTCACGGATACAAAAAAAAGTTCATGTAATATTTTAATAAAGAATCGAAATGAATATGTTAATTATTACATTCATGAAAAATTTTGTCCTATTCAACGATTAAAATTATGAATCCTTCTATAAAATTTTCTACCATAATAGCTGACACATTTTCTTTGTCATTCTTGATCCATCCATTTGATGGTATTTACTAGACAGGGAGAAAGAAATTTCGACGTCCAAAATAAGAAAGACTATATTGAACTGATAAATATATGTATATATATATATATACAAAGTAGAAAAGAAAAGATAATAAACAAACACGCACGCACATATAGTCGACACGGTATTTTGCTCTTTCTGATCTAGTTAACTAGAAAAAAATAAATAATAATAATAACATGTAAGATTCTGTTTAAAAAGAAACGAAATTTTTTATTTGAAATTATCTACTTAAGAATGATGTCAACAGAATCTCCAACACAAAATCAACAACAGCAATCAACAGTATATGATGAGCGTGTATTTAATGAACGTATTCGTCAATTATTTAATTCGATCGATTCATCTTCAATATCTCATTCTCCTTTATCATCACATGGTGATATTGGTCATATGACATCTATTGTTGATGCTCTTTTTCCTGAACAAGCTTCATTTCATCAACAACGAGAACAACGTCATGCATCAACAAATGATCTTACAACAGCTTTGGATCGATTTCCATTATGGAATAATAATAATAATAATAATAATAATAATAATAATAAATCGAATAGTTCAGCATCAGCTTTTTGTGGTGGTACAACAAATGGTTCATCAGCATTTGTTAATCGACGTCAATCAAAATTACATAGTTCATCACGTTCATTACGCAACACTAATTATCATTGTCAACAACAACAACAAAATCATTATCGACCACCACCACTTACTCGACCTCGTTTTGCTTCATCGGCAATACGTTTACAATCAGCGATAACAACGTAAGTTTTAATGATAATTTTAATTGATTATTTAATTAAATTTTTATTTATATTTTAGAACTACTCCTAATAATAATAGTACTAATGGCCTTCAACGATCATCATCATCATTGTCGACTAATAATAGTATATGTGGTACAACTGATTATCAACCTCGTTTTGCTAGTCGTCTTTCAAGTAGTCGATTACCTACGGCTGCACCACCTGTAGGATCTTATGATCAAATAGCGAGTAATAATATTACAATAGATCCAATAGTTCCACCATCAGCAACATCTACTATTGGTGTTATGAATCAACCATCATCAGCTTCTGCTGGACTTGCTCGCAGTACTTCATCAGCAAATGCTCAACCACAACAATTTGTTACTATGACACAAACAACAACAACAACATTTTGTTATGTACCTGCTTCTGGTTCACTTGCTTATAATAATTTATCAGGTACAAATCGAAATGCAACAATTTCTCATCATTAAAAAAGGAAAAATTTTCATTCATTTGATTGAAAACTGTGTAGAATATGTCGTCGTTGTCTAAGACACATATTTATTTATTTATTTATATATACATATATAGATATATTTATCTTATTTATGGTTTACTTGTGTACATGTGCAGATTTTCTTCTTTGTTTCTTTTTTTTTTTTTGGATTTTGGATCAATCGATCGCTAGGTCTTTTTTCTGTTGTATTTGTCGAACAATTTCATACACAGAATTATTTATTTATTTATTTATTTATTTTCTTTCTCTCTTTTTTGTTAACTATTCTCTCTTCTTCTTATTATTATTAATGGTTAAATAGTTGTCTTTGCAACGTAAAACAAAGAACAACTTTTGTTCAATAAAAAGTTTATGATAATGTAAAACTTATTCAGAGATATTCTTAATTATAATAGAGATAATAAAATAAAATTATGAGTACAAATCTTATATTGTTTCTGATATGAAATACACATATTGACTTTTCTTAAAGATTATGCTTGGTATTATTTGATTTTATTTTATAGTGACTTCATCAGTTAGAATAATCATAACAGATTGAAGTTTTTCTATCTAAATATTGTTACCGTTCGAAGTGATGTGTAACATGAATCCGTATGAAAATTGTATCTATTCTCTTTAAATTTATAATCAAATTCAAATTACAAAGTATTATTGAATGTATATGTAAAATGGTTGAATCCAAGAGATTCAATAAATCATTGTATGTTGATCTTCAACATTTCAGTTTCATAACAGAGAAGATCAAAAGCGTGGATGTGGATAGGGATCTCCTCTTCATCTACACCACGCTCACACCTTCAATTTTGACTTATTCTTATTTGAAATAATTATTTAACACAACTGACACGCATCTCAATCTATAAAAGAATACTATTGTTGACAGAAATATAATATGAACTAAAATATATGGTTGTTATATTAGACTTCCTATTTTAAGAGTTCTTAATATCTAAATGTTTTCAGTTTCATGATGTTAGAAGTTGGCAAGATCTTGACAAGAGAATGGAATGTTTTCTGAAAATTAGTAATCAAGATATGAATTGAAAACTACTAACTATTGGGATTTTATAAGAGATGGTCAAAATTTCGAGGTGAAAAATCTTTAGTTTAGACCGAAATTAACTTCTAATACCTGTTTAACTTTTCGTGAGTATAATAAATTCATTCAGCATTATCTCAGGCTCTCATCGTACGATGAGAAAGTGTTAGTTCAATATTTAGACCTGAGATTTTGACGACAACTAGAAATTTGTCATTGGAAGACTTCTAGACTCATATCTCTTGATCATTAAAACCATGGAAATCGTTAAAAATGAGTTAAGTACATCAACTCTAATACACTAAAATTCAATAGAAAAACTAGCTGGTTCAAAGAGTTCAACCGGTCAGATTTCAAGTGTATTTTAAATTTTTACTATACAATCTATATGTAGAAAGAAACTAATTGTATTACTTTCAATTCTTATTGGAGTCTAGTTTCTGATAACTATTCAAGTGATTTTTAAATTCGAAATTTTGCAAAAATGATTGACATAACTTTCAAATAGTTTTAATCCTTTCTCGAAAACTGATCTACATTAGTTGATATTATTTTCAAGCTAGTTTTATTTAGATAAATAAAAAAATAAAAAAGAACTCTTTATTTTAAATGTAAAAATTCAAGTTTATACTTGTACTCGAGAAGCATCTGCTGTAGTAGTTATTGCTGGTATTATGATAGATTTTGTCTGATGTCGATGATTATTTTGAAATGAAAAATGTTTATTATCTATTTGTTGTATTGAAGATTCGATAGATAAAGATAATCCATTTGGAAGAGGTAAAACATGTCGTTGATGATTTTCTCGACTTTTCGGGTGTTTTATGTGATTTTTAACTAATGATTGTTGTCGATAATTCGTTCTAGATTTGGACTATTTTATTTCATTATTAATAAATGGTATTTGTTCAATATGTTATACTAACTTATTTGTTGTTATAGATTTTGGTATTGTATGTTGTGAAACAAATGATTTTGCTGATAAAGAATTGAATGATTTATTCGATGTGATAATATTAATATTAGAACTAAATGAATCAGTTGAATTTTGATGTTTATGTTGATGATTTATATGAGAACGTATTCGATGATTATTTCTAGACGAATTAGATCTATCCGAATGATGTTGTTCACCATTTTTACGATGACATTCATTAGGAACTGTTGGACCACGTTTTGCTAATGTTGCTGTATAATCTATGGTTAGATAAATAGCTTTTTGTACAGTTGTTTGTACTGATGATCTATTAGGTACAGCTATTAATGATCGAGGCATGAATGATCGATTTGATACGGGCACAAGTTTTGTTGATACTGACATATTATTAGTTGTAACACATGATTCATGCCCAGATTGAATACTAGCTAAAGGTGTTAAAGCCAATATGTTTTGTTGTTGTCGAGATGAAGGAGAGCATTGTCCTTTTTTTGGTAAATGTTCATCAAACATAACAGTTTGTGATTGATTCTTAATCATATCAGGAACTTTAACATGAATATATTCATTAGGATTATATGAAATATTATGGGATGGTGTCATTTGATGTGATTTTACTGGATAAAATGAATTATTAACATCATGAAAAAATTGCCATGGTTGATTTCCTACATTATTTTCAGTAATTGAATAATTATTGGATGCATCAAGTGGATCTATTAGAACAAATGTTTCATATTTAGTTAAGAATAAATATTTAGAGAAAAATTTTGAAAAATAAAATACCAAGCATCATTCGGTAAGCGCTTATTAAAAAAAATAAACGATTACTTTATTTAAATCCTATGGAGTATTGTGATGAAAACGATAATTTTGCTTTTTACACATCGTGACAAAGATAGTAATAAATCAGAAATTGAAGACAATATTATGTGAATCATTTTGTTGACTACAAAAGTAGCTTCATCATCTTTCGGATTTCTATTCCATAATATAATCTACGAAAATTAGTCGATAAGTTTATAGTTGTACAAAGAAAAAAAAAGTATCCAAAAGTTCATTATTAGATACTAAAATTTGTTTGAAATAGTTGATTAAGTACTAATGAGAGAAATTTTTTTGAGACTGTTTATCTAAAGCGTCACTTTTTCACTACAAAAATATTGAAATTAACTTTAATAATAACAAGATGAAGAAATAAGTTTAATTTTTGTTTATTTTTCTGTTTCTTGAAAGTACAGCATGAGAGATAAGTCGAATTACTGATTGTAGTGAAATACGAAGATACGTTCATGAGTACTCCAACTTCTGAAAGACTAACACTTATTAACATAAGTTTGCACGAGTAAAATGCTCGGTGATCAATTTCAAACAGTTAGATCTGTTACTATTTTATGAAACATCATCTAAAGAGAGTATTGAAGTACATAACGGGTGGGGCAAAAGTTTTGCATTAATTTTGTTTTTGATATAACTCTGCAACGCAATATCGTGGAGACTTGATTTTTTTTTGTTAGAAAGAGCAAAGTGTCTAGTGCAAAAATATATAAAAGAATTTGATTTGTAATGTTTTTCGAAGACTATAATAGTTTTAGAACACAAGGCTCCGAAAAACTTTTCCGCAACTTCGGTCACATTTTTTTAATCCAAAAATATTTGTTTGAGCCTTTTTCATTAGCCACTTTCGACACTTTCGAGCACCATATATATACAGTTGCTCATTATAACGGAGGTTTTCATTTGGTATTAAAATAATTGGTATAACATACAAGAGAATGAACAAAAGACACGTTGATAAAAACAAATTAATTGTTCGAATTTCGTTTTGCAGCGTGAAAATAAGTTTTTTTCTGAATATCTCATAGAGAAGTTGCGTCCTATTCCAAATAATATCGTTTGGTAGAGGACTCAATAAACTTTCTTTTTCCTATAAAATATATAGCTTCTAACAATCTCATCTGCGAAATAGAGTTTATTTTTTCGATTGCTACCAGCAATGATAAAGAATTGATGAAACAGACGATATCATAAAAGCGTTCATTTCGACCTTTATAAAACATGTAGAAAATTTCTTTTTTTGTAATGCAATAGTACTCTATCCTTATATTATAAAATCCGGATTAGAAGAATAAAAAAATAACCTTTCTAATTATAGGAATTTTTTTCTAAGTTCAACAAAGTTGCGGAAGACTTTTCCAACCCCTTCTGTTCTAAGATTGTTGTAGTTTTCGAAAAACATTTCCAATCAAACTCTTTTATATAGTCTTGCACTAGACACTTTGCTCTTTCTAACAAAAAAAAATCAAGTCTCCACGACATTACGTTGCAGAGTTATATCAAAAACAAAATTAATGCAAAACTTTTGCCCCACCCGTTAGAGTAAAGATTTACACTCCCTTTCTCCCTACAGACATCTCTAGCAACGTCATAAACTGTGACAGATGTTATTGATACACAATCAAAGATCGTATATCAATAACGTCTCATTGTAATATATGAACTACTTCCGTATTGCATTTCTGGATGATAAAGAAATCTGTCTGAATATAAATAGAGTAAAACAATCTTCTTATCATTGGCAACAGCAGCTATATCGTGTTTTACATTTTAATCCGACACGGATTGTGCTAATTCTTTTTTTTTTAAGTTACAGTGTTAATTTTAATACACAGCTAACACTGTTCACTTTGGTTATTTTCTAATGCAGTTGATAATGCACTCGGCTTGAAAAAAAAGAAATAAAATTCGGGTCAGACAGTGCATTTCAAGCTCTGCTACTCGTCATTTCTAAAAATTGATATTTTTTAGTTTTGTATTCATTTCAAGGCTTTTCTTCTATTACTATAGATTTTTCGACTATTATGCGTATCAATCAATTTTTGCTTTATTTTACATGAAAAGATCTTTGAGTATAAAAATTTGCCAAATCATTCATATATTATAAATAATATTCATTTCAAACCAATAAAATGGTTAAAGTCTATGACGATGATAGATTCTTTCTCTACACTGATTATGTCAGAGAAATAACTTGTTCGAGATAAAATACAGAAATTTCATAATAGATAAATTATAATAATAGTTGCTTTTGTTTTTGTTGAATTTAATATCTTACCATTTATTTTCATTATTTGTTGTTGATCAAAATTTTTATTCAATAATTCATATGTTTTAATAAAATCAAAATTTTGATGTTATTGTATTTGTTTATCTTTTCGTATTTTAATGTATGTTTCATTGTCTTCAATCCATGATCGATTCAATATACTACCCATTGTTCTTGTGTCAAAAAAATTCGTTTTGTATATTTTGATTTTCTTATTTCAAATAATCATCAAGTCTTTACTTCTTACCTCAACTATTAGTCTGTTCGAGCAATCAATTGATTACAAGTGATCGATATGATAGATAATGAAAGGAAAAAAAAAATCAACATTATGTTTGCACATAGATTGAAAAACATGATGTTCCACATTAATGAATATGTATAAGGCACAAACTACTGACATAAACATACAAAAAACACTCATACATATGGAAGATTTGAATCATTATTATTATGTTTTTTTTTTTTGTTTGACACTGTAAAATGGAATAAAATGAATACCTGACAGAAAAAAAGAACTGTTATACGTAGTGTATCGAACAAGAAAAGACGAATGTGAATATTTTAATATAATGATGTTTTTTTCATAATTCGTAAAAATTCTTGTTCATTTATTTCACTATCACCATCACGATCTGCTTCATCAATCATTTCCTTTAGATAAAAAATAAAAAAGCAAAAGAATATTTCAAATTGAAAATTAATATAAAAATTAATTTACTTGTAATTCTTCATCAGTTAAATTTTCACCTAATTCTTTTGCAACACGTTTTAAATTTTTAAATGAAATTTTTCCTGTATTATCATCATCAAAAAGTCTAAGAAAGAAGAATAAAAAATTCATAAAAAGAAAATATTTTTTTTTTTTTGTTACCGAAAAGCTTTGAGTATTTCTTCTTTTGAATCTTTTTCAGCCATTTTTTGTGACATTAATTGAAGAAAATCATTAAAATCAATTGTACCTTATCATAGAAAAAAAAAAAAAAAAAATTTTTTCTATATTTAGAAAAATTTTTTATACTTATTTACCTGCATTTTCTTTTTGTATATCAGATATCATTTTTTTTATTTCTTCTTTTTTTGGTTCAAAACCTAATGCTCGCATTGCAACCTAAAATAAATTTTCATATAATAATAATAGAATAAATCGTTTTTATTTTTTAATATTAACTTTAAGTTCTTTAACATCAATTGTTCCTGAACCATCAGCATCAAATAGATCAAAAGCTTCACGAATTTCTGTTTTTTGTTCTTCAGTTAATTCAGGTCGAGAACCTGTTGGTCGTTTTTTGGCACCACCACCAAGTGCAGGACGTTTCATTTGAGTTGTTGTTGTAGCCTATATACAAATATATATAGAAATATGATTAAAATTAAGTATAATAGAAGATCTTTTACCATTGGAATGAAAATGAAATATGTTGAGAGATTATTAAAAGGCAGAGATGTTGTCTATAAAATGAACGAAAGAATGCCATGTTGTCAAGTTCATGTCCTCCTATGTCAATATTATAATTTAATTGAAATTCTGAATAAAATACTCTGTCATGATTATATTCTGATAATAAAATTAGATCGTTTTTTCATAATTGAGAATGAAATTTTATAAGTTGTTATCAAAAGATGTCACTAGAGACTATATTTGACACATCTTTCTGTCTTTTTCTAAAGATATGTTTACGCAATTGTGGCTATTCTTTGATGATATAGAAACAGAAAATCAAAATGAATGTTTCCACTACACTTTCGTCTGGTGTTTTCTATATTTTATAGAAGGTATTGAAACATTTTAGTAGTTACCATGTTTTATGTACGTAATGAAACAACACTATAATTCGATGGTATTTATTTGTTTAATTACTTATGAGAGAAGTCCTCCAACTGATTAATCACTTTTAACCGAAATCTTAACTTATTGCTATGGAGATACTGCAAATTTATCGTAGTTTTAAATGAACCTTGGTAGGCCTTCTCAGGAACACCAGAAAAGTTAATTTTCAAATTTCGACTTGAAACTTCACACAGAGACAGATCTTAACAAGAATAATTCATTGTGAAAGTTTCAGTTCTTTTGATTTGCTTCTGTTCTGAAATACGAGTATCAAGTCTGCTGGTTTCAAGTTGAAATTTGAAAATCAATTTTTTGTTATATTTCTGAGGAGACCTAAAAACTACCGTAAAAGTGCAATATCTCCGTTGCAATAAGCTAAGGGCACGAATTCTTTCCAGTTCACGTTAGTAGATATTTGCTTTTATTATTAATTCTTATATACGCTGATGTATGATCTTCCAAATACAATTGATAATATTAAATGCGAAATTGAGAAAACTAATGAAGCTAATACTTGAATTTCTTAAATCTTATAAAGTCAATTCATTCTGATATGTGTTGAAAATATATATAGATACTGTTGAATCAAGGACAAAAAAATAAATTTTCATTGTTCTCAATTAATGACATAAAAACTATCACCATTATTCGAAATTCCACTACCATCCCAACAACGAATGGTTCGTTGTGAAACAGGATGATCAATTCACTAAAATAATTTTAGACATATAAAACATTTCATTATTCAATAACTTTACTTGATCTCCAACTCGAATACCATTACTATCTTGATTAATATAAAGAGCAGCACAATTTGAATATTTACCATTGCGAAATGTTACAATGGCTATACTAGATGCAATATTTATAAAATTAATAAACGTAAATATTTCTCGATCTACTTTTGTTTCTTGTTCCCATCGACTTGTCGTACGTCGATCACTAGTGAAAATTCTATTTTATTCAATATAAAAAATAGAAATTCTTACAAAATGTAAATAACATTTACTTAATAAAACTTACACATTTACACTTCAATAATCACCTAAAATTGAAATGTGATTGTATATAATGAACAATGAAATGAATAATTTATCTAAATGATCACAAAGACTTTTGTCACTATATTGATCTGGATTGAAGAATGAAATTCCTACAATTCGGATTTAATGATGATTTCTTACCGTTCGGTACGGAAACAAAGCTGATAAGAGTAAATAATAACAATATAAGAATATTGGTTATTTAATCATCGATAAATAAATTTAATATTTTTATCGACGAAATTAAATGACTTATTGTTTGTTATTTTAATTATTTCATCTGTAAATAAAAATACTTCCATAAGTCATTTAATCAGCAGTTGTAACACATGTTTCTAGAAGAATTTAAAATTCATTTTAAATAAACATTGAATATATGAGTATTGAAGAGAAGAAATGGATGATTGAATGAAAATCATTAACAATGTAATTAATTTCTTATAAATAAATACAATATATAACTTTACATCAGAAGTATTAAAACTTGACAACTTCCGTTTTATGATAGAAATTATTTGTTCGAATCCTAGCTTAGCAGAATTTACTCGTCAAATGCTATGAAACAAGAAAAATTATTTGGAAGTAAAAAATTTCAAAATATGGAATCAAAAAAGGAGATTCAGGAAGTCGCGTTCAAAAGATATTTCATGTCAAAATATTCATTAACATCTGCATATGATATTCAACGTAGTTGTTCGTATGAAATATATACGACTATGAAAATTTTATCAAAAAGGTGGCAAAGTAATTGAAATAGCTTCAATCTAATCTGACAAATTTACTACTGGTGTTTATTTTACTTCAATTAAAACATCGTGAATAAAATTTTAATTTTCTTTCTATAGGGTGTCCAGTAAGTCATGAAATAAGAAAAAGAAAATCGAATATCTTCGCCATATTTTGATCAGAATTGGCTGATATTTGTGCTACTGATAGAGAAGTGTTCATAGATCATATTCATAAGTGAAACTTTGTCAAAAACTATTTTAAAGTATCACAACTGATTTCAACAAGGAACTGTAACATTTTACTAACTATGGAAAAAACAATATATTGATTCGCTTAGCCAAGAATAAACGACATCTAATTTTTTCGATTGATTCTCCCCAATAGTATCCTTTGATCTATTATTATTTATTTCACAGATGCTTGTCTTGTTATTCAGTGTACTTCGAAAGTTTCAGCCGTACACAGCAAGAAATTTGTTGAGAAAACTGCAATATTGGTTTTTCATAACTCGCGGACGGTTACAGTTCTATGTTGAGGTCAATTGTGATATCTCAAGACAGTTTTTGACAACGCTTCACTTATGAATATGACCTATGAACATTCCTCTATCAATAGTAAAAATATTAGCCCATTTGATCAAAATATGGCGAGAGGTATTCGCTTTTCTTTCTCTTGTTTCGTGAGTTACTGGACATTCTATATATTTCATCTATTCCTTCTTGATGAATTGTTATATGCACTAAAATAAATTCTCTTTTCCAACTGATGTAATTTCGAAAAAAAATTAGCTCAAAATTGTTTTTTCTCTCACGAACAAAAAACTAATTGTGTTATATTCGATGATTTTTAATCAATCTATATTACTATTTAATTAAAAACATTTTATTTCACAAATTTCATATAGATTATTTTTTCTGCTAATGAAATATGAATACTTAGTATAGTTTTAAAATATAATTCGAAATTTACTTATGTTAAATATGTTTACACAAATATATACATTTATAATACATTAATAAATCTTTTTATATACCAGCTTAAACATCCATATTCTATTACAAATTAATGTCTGAATACAGGTACTCAATAGTAATCATAATGTGAGAATTATTCTAAAATTGGTATTGTTTTTTATGTTGTTAGAGACCTTTCTTAATAAGAAAAATAGTATGCAGTTTATTTTAACCTATCTTTTTCATTAAGGAGTTTCTATAAATACATAAAACCATGATATGTTGTTTTTCTAAAGTATTGCATGACTACCAAGGACGGATCTACAACAGACAAAGAGTTGCGACCTCTGCCCTTTTTTCATGATCGCACCACTTTCAAAAATTCCTTGATTTAAAAAAAAAACCTAATTATCATTAAATAAAATATTATTTAAAGCAAAAAAAATCTTCGATGAACCAAGAAAAACATTTGATTGTAAATGAACAAAAAGTATATCAACAATTTGGTGAAAGACATTTCCATTTGTCAACTTCACGTCGAACACCATCAACAATCACTGTTAAAAATTGCAAAGTCTATAAAAAATAAATTATCCTATTTCTTCACGTCATATTCAATTACTTTATATTGAACCGTTCTGTTAGTTCCATGTCAGCACAGAAACCGCACACTCTAACGTCGTACCTCATGTACTCATCACTTTTTTTTTTTTTTTTCATTGATTATTTCCTCTATTTTTCTTCTTCTTCTCCCAGTTCCTCTTCGTTGTTTCCTTTTTTTCTCGTCTTTTTCATAGAAAAAAAAGAGCGAAAAGACGGAAGACATATATATATATATAGGACTGAAATCCTACAAGACTCCTCATTTTTTACAAATAAAACAACGATCGTCGATCTTCCCTCTCTTTTCTTACTACTATCGTTATAAGAGGAACAAACAATGATGCAAAACGTTAAAGACGCTGCTCATGCTATTGCAGACAAAGTCAAAGGTAGTAAATGAAAATATAATAAATAAGTTCGTTACAATTTTTTTTTGTGCTTCTAGAAGTAACAAGTGGTACTTCACATGAAACAAATAAGGAAGCAGCTAAAACTAATATCCCGTTAACAGGTAGGCGCATTGATCGTGGCATCGATATTGTTACGGATAAAGCTATGATGTCTTTGCGTTCGTCATTGAAAAAAAAAGAAAAAAATTAATATTAAACTGTTCTTGTTTTAGTTGAAGAGAAAAATAATGAAACGAAGAAAGAAACTGATGAAGAACGTGGTGTAATTGATCACATTGGTGATACTATATCCAATGCATATCATTATGTTGCTGAGAAAGTTCATGGTTTGCTTACCAAAGATTTTTTTGATTTATTAATTTTAAAATTTTTTTTTTTAATTTTAGAGGCGGCAAGTGTTGTATCATTTGAAACTAATAAAGAAAAAGCCAAAGATTCGGATAATACAGTTGGTGAACGTGTTGGAGCTGGTTGTTCAGCTGTTGCTAATAAGACTGAAGAAAAAGTTCATCAAGCAAAAGCTGAAGGACATAAAGGAGCAATTTAGAAAAAATAAAATTAACTTTTTAATGTGTTCAATAACTTATTCTCAAATAAATAATATATTTACATTGTTTCCGTTTGTCTGTGCAATATAAAATCTTATTCTAGTTATTTTATTCGGTTCTTTTATTATTTCCTTTATTGTATTGTTAATAGAATAATATAAAATACACTAATAAGTTATATTATTCATTAATGGACACAGATGTGACATATTTCGATATAGAATGAAATACATACAAAAATTTAAGATCCGATTTAATAAGCAAAATTGCTAAGAACAATCAGACAAAAATATTTTACACATTTGAATTGAGTTTTATCTCTATCAATAAGAAGTTTTGTTTGCTTATTAACTGACTATCGATTACAGTAAAATAACGTTTAATAGAAGTCACAAGTGGTGCTGATAGTACATTTTTACTATTGGTCGATCAGATGATTCATTCGGTTTTTTTTTTGTTATTGTTTCTGGCTTGCAGTTATTATCGTCGAGAGTTAATCTTCGTCGAAAAGAAAATCATGTTTAGTTCTAAGAAAGCTTTATTTCTATTAACAAATATTAGTAGTGAAGAAAATAAAGCTGTTTTATTATAGTCGATGTAAGAAAAGACTTAATTGAATTTATCTATTGTTTTTTTTTTTGCTTTAAATGATTCTTTGTTGTGTTGATATTGAAGTAGCCATTAATTCAATTGAAGAAAATTGTGAAGCACTGCAATATACTTAAGATACTGTCATTATACCAGATATATCTATAAAGGAAATATGATGTTGTTATCGTCTTAGATGATGATAATAATTCAAAAGATGATTAAAAAATTTTCTTTTGTACGATTTACAAGTTTTTTTTAAAGCTCATGAAATTACAATGGTTACAGTTTATCTAGAATGTTTCAAAAATATTAAAAGAAGGTTGTCATGTATGTAAATCAAAAGTGAATTAAAGACAATTTTGATTTATTATTTTTTCTTTTGAGAAAGTTTTTTCATCAATTAGTTTAGCATTGTGAATTAAAAACAATTGTTAGTGAATTAGTCACAAAACCATGATAGAACTAATTTGAATGCTAGTCAACTATCTAAGCTGTTTGTTCAACTAGTTGACAATTAAAAAAAATAACTAATTAATTCTAGAATAGTAAAGAAACGCATTTTCTATCTATCTCTTTCATCTTCAGTCTAAATCGATTCGATCAGTTGACGGATATAGTTTTGACTATATTTCAATTCTACAAAAAACAAAAATACGACTTTAATTATTTAGATCAGAAATGACAAAGTGTCATTTCTTTCATAAATAAACAGAAAAAAGCTGTTTGAACAATCCCTGCGGTCTTAAAATATGAAACACGATGTAGCTACCCTTGCTAATGACAGACAGATTGTTTTATTCTATCTATTTTGAGATACATTTCTCTACCATCCATTTACTTAATCTTCCAGAAATGCAATAATAAAGTAGTTTATATGTTATGATGAGACGTTATCGATTTACGAATCTTTGATCGTGTATCAACAACGTCTGTTGTGTGGTGTGAAGTTCTTTAGCTAGCATCGATCACTGTCTATGTCCCGTAAAAATCTGTAATTTTGTAAATAAAGCTTCGATTCAATCGAATACTATTGGTTATAGTCATTAAAAAGAACACTCTAATGATAAATAAAAGTTTTTTTCTAATGAAAGATGATACTTTGCATAGACAATCCTACTTCACATTTTCTAATAAAAATCTCTGGTGAGCCATCAGAAAATAAGAAACTCTTTGGAACTCCCTAGGGAATTTGATAAATTAGTGGAACAATACATCGACTATTTTCCTTTATATTTCTAGAAATATAAGACAGTGAAGCTTCAAAATGAAACAATGGTTTTTCTTTTTTTTTAATTGAATGTCTTTTCTAAGTAATAGATATTGTTTGGACGTAAGTTAACTTTAGAATCGATCAACTTATCCACTAGAATAGGTCTTACTAAGTGACTCGTGTGGGAAAAGTGACAATCTTTTTTTCATATAAACTTTATTTTCATTGGTAAACAATTGAACAAATAAAAGCTGAACTACTGTGAATAGAAACATTGAAATCTATTTTAGCACTGATTTATTTCGAAGAATCTCGCTAAGAAAATTCCAGAAATTCTCATGATTCCGTAAAATGAAGCACAAAGGTAGCTTTAAACAGATAACTAACAAAACACTAGTTATCAATGTTCTTAATAAAGAAAGCCTCAAGCATTTTTTTTTAAGAACCGCTAATGTCCTGTGAAAATTGCATCCATTTTATAGTTAATTGATTTATATGATCGCGAAAAGAATGAATAATGAGTTAACTAAAAATGATCCAAATTCTCAAATGTATACAATTATAAATAAATATTAGTGAATCTGTTAATTTTATTAGATATTAAAATAATAATAATAATTTGTTGCCACTATTTCATCGAGAAGTGTCCAAGAACTGAGAAATAGGAATTCCTTTACAGTTTCATGATTGCTGAAATAAAAGAAACGCATAATATATACGATATTTTTTTTTTCATCAAGGAATTTGTGAAAATGAATTTTTCGGTATGAAAACTATTATAGAAAAAGCATTGCTTTGGCTTTTATGGATGGTGGAACTGTGAAGAAAATAATGGTCAATTCCCATAACTTCGTTGAGAATTCCTTTACAACTGAGGAATTTCGATTTTTTTCAGGTCTTGCAAATTTCTCGTATGAATTTTCATAATAGAAGATTATGACTTTTTATTCTACGGAATAAATGATTATTAGCATTTTTATTTCATACCGAAGAAATAATCTGCATTATCATAAATACACTTTTAAAAACCTTGTTATCCAAGTCTCTCCTGAGTTGAAATGTGAAACTCACTAATACAAAAATACACACACAGTGTAAAAATCTCTAAAAATGATTTATTATGTACTTTGATAAACTAAGAAACCCTAGTATTAATTATTCCCGAGAGTTAGAACTTAATCAATTCATACTTTTCTGTTGATCATTTGACAATTGTGAGAAATCAAAAACAGCGTTCTTGATATCTACCATATAATCGTTTATCTGCGAAAAAATCAGAAATTGCATTATTTAGAATATGGAAAAATGTATTCCAGTCATTTAAATTTCAAAAAAAGTTATGGAATGTTCTAAAATCTTCTAAGCCTTATTATTAATATCGTTCAGTGTCTTCGGGAGGAATCTGCAAAACTTTCACGAAAATATTAAGACAATGTCTAACTATAAGATTTATTCTTGTTTACATCACGATGATGAATAAGTTAAAAATGAACAACATCATTTGTATTGAAAATACTTGTTTTAAAAAAATATATATCTATCAAATTTTTAGTTATATATGATATATATTTTTAAGAAATTCAATAATAAATTTTATTTTCAGATGACAAAAAAAACACTCGTTCTTATTGCTAATGGAAGTGAAGAAATTGAAGCAGTAACAACAATTAATGGTATGTTTGTTTTTATTTTTAAATTTGTTCTTTAATTATTTATTTATTTGTTAGTACTTCGAAGAGCTGAAATCGAAGTTGATGTTGTATCAATTGAAAAAAATGGTCATGATGCTGTAAAATGTAGTCGTCATGTTCGTGTTGTACCTGATAAATCATTGGATGATATAAAAAATAATCAATACGATTGTATTGTTATTCCTGGTGGCAATGATGGTTAGTATATATTTATTGAATTAATGCAAAAAAAGAAAATTAATGATATTCATTTGATATCATCAAATGAGATTATTTATTAATGAATTTTCTTTTTTTTTTTTTGTTTTAAATTTAGGCTCAAAAGCAATAGCTGCTAATGTTGAAGTTGGACAAATTTTAACAAAACATTATCAAGATGGAAAAATTATTGCTGCTATTTGTGCTGGACCACGAGCATTATTATCTCATAAAATTGGTTTTGATCATAAACATACAATAACATGTTACCCAACTGTACGCAAAGAATTTACTGATGGTGAACCATATAAACTTGATGTACCTGATCATCCTGTTTGTTATAGTAAACATATAGAAGAAGGTAAATGTTTAATTATTTTAATTAATATATACTTTGATTAATTTTGTTTATTTAGGTATCGAAAAAAAAGAATATCATCTAGTTACAAGTCAAGGACCTGGTACAACAATGGTTTTTGCATTGAAATTAATTGAACTTCTTAAAAGCAAAGATGAAGCAATAAAAGTTAAAGATGGATTACTTGTTTAAAATTTAATTTTCTTGTGACCATCTTACTCCTTTTTTTTTTTTTAGATTCAACTTAACCTAGCAGTATTATTGACCTGTATTCCTTTTTTCAATATAAAAATAGACAAGTTCTTAATCCATTCTTTTTGTTTGTCTTGAAACGAGGAAAAAAAAAGTTTAACAATATTAAAATATGACCAATACACGTTATCTATATCGCTTAAAATTCACAATATCAAATGCATAAATTTGGACTACATTTTCATAAATCAATAGGCCATACGAACAGATTGATTTCTTCTCTTCTAAATTTTTCTTGTATTCTACATTTTTTCTGAAAATTTTCCTATTATGGAAAAATGAAGTCTATTCTGAAAGAGAGATTCCCAGAAGCTATAGATTTTATATGAAAAAAGGCCCTATTGAGTATTTCAAAAATCTTTTGTTTTAAAATATTTCTGATCTTTGAAAAAAAAAAATTTCAATCAAATTCTTTCATGAATTTTTGTATTAGACACTTAGCTCTTCCTAAGAAAAAAAAAATGATGAAGTCTCCACGACACTCCATCATAGCGCTATATCAAAAACGAAATTATTACAGAACTTTTGTATCATCCATTATTCAATACACTTTTCTCTCTAGGTTTGATTATAGGATATAGGTGAAAACAAGAACCACATACACAACACCCTCAAGTTGTATCTGCTATATAAAATATTTTATGCATGACTGTATAATGCAACTTTTATTTTACTATTTCTTGTCTTGAACTTTTAATTGAAATTTTGTAATACTAACGCATATGTTCAGAAATCAAAGATAATATTGTAATTATAAAAATCTCAGTTTTGGAAATAATAATTAAGAAAAACAGATATATCAGTAAAAAAAAAACTAATGAATTTGTAAATAGATATTATAGTAGTAAAATTTGTATAAGCCCGGGAGTCAAAGAAAAAAATCGTTCAACCCATGAAACGGGCCGTGTTCAGTCTCAAATTAGTCGGGTCAAAAAAATCAGCGACCAACTGTTACGTCCTTATTTTACGTTGATGTGTACAGGGTTATTTTTAAGATGTTATTTAAGTTTTTTTTTTTTGTCAGCTATATTTTTGTCGAATCAAAAAACAACAATCTTCTCTCTCTTTCTACTCGAATTATTCCAACCTATATATATATAATCACGCATTACTAACTGCGCAATAAATTTCAGTTCAAAGTCAGGAAAAACATTTTCTTGACTTTTGCGAGAAAAGAAAAAAAGAATAACAGCAGAGATTGAAGGAAACGAACAAGCATTGTTAGATCAAAGAAACAAACGAATACACTAAGTGAAATATCTAACAGAACAAAAGAAAGGGGGAACGAACATATATGGATAATACATATAACATTTTTTTTCTTATAGCACATTTAACATAAGTGCCATAACACCAACATCTCTACTATAGAATCAATGTATATTATGAACTACTTCCCATATAAATAAACATTTTCTTTCTTATAATCTATATGAAATGTATATTACAGTGGTTTGTATTTTCCCATTATATATTCATTATCGAAAAATAAAAAACAAATTATAATAGTCTAAAGTAAGAAATAAAAAAGGAGAAATTTAATTGAAGTGTACTGTAATAAACAGAACAAGATATTATCAATGACTTTGCTTATCGCATATAAAGAATCATTTAATTTTAATTTTGTTGGCTTCATTAAGCTTAACAACTATTTATTAAGCATGTTACAGTTCAATAGGTCATCATCTGTCGATCTCAACTTTTTGTTTTTGTTATTTGAGTACAGAAAAATTTGCATATATATAATTCAATTTGATCCTAATTATTTTTATTTCCTATAATTGTATATGATACATCTATAGTTGTGCATTACTTTCTGTTACTAATGAAATGAAATATCTGATATTGTTTATTCAGATGAAACAAGATAATAATTTAATCATCTTAGATATGATTTTACAAGAAATAACACCAAGAACTAGGTCAAACACAAAGATGATGCTCAAAACGAGGTTTTTTTTCTTAATGAAACAATAAAAGAAATTGTAAATTTAAACAGTCTTTAGGATTATTCTCTAGAATAAACATCAGTTATTTTCCAGTAAGAAAAAATTTTCCTTTTCATTTTTATTTTATAATAATAAATGACATGATATGCATGCAACTTTTTTTCTTCTATTAGTTTATATTATTTCTATTTGTCAAATTATTTCTTTTCTTTTTTTTTTTTTTGTATAAATAATTTTCTTAGCAAAAATGAATATAGTTGAATAAAAAACAAAAAATATTTGTAATTATAACTATTCAAAATTTCTATTTTTGTATTCATTATATATTTTTACTCAATAGAACATACAATTCTAATAAATATGTGCTATTCATTTATAGATGTATGCGTTCGAGCGTATAGAATTTGTCTCCTTTAAAAAAAACTAAGCTTTTTACGTAAAAAAAAAAAAAATTTTATATATCTGATTATCTGCTACAGTTGACATGTATCAAAAAATGTTGATGACACACTATTTTTAACCAACTCCTGTAGTGTCATTATTTATTATATTTCAAAAGAAATCTACACGAGACACTTCTATCCGTTTTCTTAATTTCAATACGTCGCAATTATATATATATAAACAACAAAAAAAAAGAGAAGAAGAAAAGAAAAAAAAAGAAAGAAAGAAAGAAAGATAACCAGAATAAACTTCGTGGGAAGATGACTGTTTCTTAATGCAATTCTAAGTTTTAAACGAGGCCATGAAGTATGTTGTATGTTAAGGAAATGTCATTCTCTTTTCTTTTCTCATCACTAAGATTTCTTCATTATTCTGTCGCATCGTCGACGCTTTTGAAAATATTATAGAAAGTTGAGCTTTTACCTATGCGTAAATGGGGTGCCGTCAAAATATATATTAGACATAGTACGACATCCACAACATTGAACTGACAACATTTATATTATTGTAAAAGACAACAACGACGAAGAAGAAGAAGAAGAAGACAAAAAAAAAATTTTTAAAACAACTTTGAGAATTATTATTATTACGGCTATGGCATTACGAACAACTGTTAATCGACAAGATCATAAGCATAATAAAAATTATCAAAATCATATACATGAATATGATGAAGAAATTGATGAAACAGAAGATAATCTTATTGAAAATTATCTTTATCTTACAAAACATTGTGGTGTTTTACGTCATTCACCAACAACAAGTATTTTAGATACAATACAACAACAACAACAACAACATCAACAAACAAATCATTCGATTTTTTCACGACAATATTCATGGACAACAAAAAATCATCATATGGATTATGAACGTTCATTTCATTTACCGAAATCTTGTTCATCATTGAATGATTTTAATAATAATTATCATTCAGAAGATTATTCAATAGTGAGTCGTATACCACCAACAATTTATTATAATAATAAAGATGATGATTATGATGATGGATCATTTTCTTTAGTAAAACTTTTTGCACGTATGAAAACACGTTTTAAACATGATCGACGTTATAAACCAAAATCTAATCATGAAATACTTCATGAAGAAGATTCACATGAATGGTTTGAACTAACCAAAAATATTCGTAATGTTTTAACAAAAGCTCTTTTACCCGATGGCGGTTACGATGCTTTAGTACGTCGAAAAAGTACAAATCATAATCGTCGACATTCACAGAAAAAAGCTCATGATTGTAATCCTGTTTTATCGAAAGACATTGAAGATGATGAAGATAAAATTAATATTGATATTGATGATGAATTAAATACTGAAGGCAATGAAGAATTCGATCAAATAATATGGAATAAATTTTTAACATGTTCACGTGGATTTAATTATAGACGATGTGGTGTTTGTAAAACTATAGATCGACAACAATGTCAAGGACAATTAGTTTATATTTATGGTGTTGCTAATAATATTTTAATTGATGAAAATTTGAAAGCTTCGGGATTGGGTTAGATTGCTATTTCTTTTTTTTTTTTTTTTTTTGTTTCTTCGTGTATTTTTTTTTATTGTGCAAAAAAAAAGAATTTTAAATATATATTTTAATAAATGACTCATTTTCAAATATGTAATATATGAATTTATAGTTTAACTAAGAACAATTCATATCAAATTATTTGTAATCAAATGTTTCTAATAATTCAAACAATAATTGAGAAACATAGAAAAATTGATTAAATATATGATAATGTTAGACATAGGAAAATATGATTAAGAATCTAATTATATTATTAAAAATAACAGAAAATATCCCTAAAGAATAACATTGAATATTCTTTATCTTTTATAAGTAATTATATATATATATATCTCAAGCCTAGAAGCATTTAATAAAATAAGTACGCATTAGATAATTCTACTTTCCTTTAAACGTTCACATTCTAATTCATAATATAAACAAAACCAAGGTTATTTTTAAGTTTCTAATTATATTACAGACTATTTACTAATAGACCTTTTTTTCCTGTAAATTACATTCTAGGGAGAAATTAATTTTCTTAAATGACATGGTCATTTAACTCTGTTCCATACAGAACACAATCCATATGTGATATTTCAAAAATTTTTTTTTCACACAGTTTGATGCTTCATTTAATAAATATAAATTATGCTAAAAATATATTTGTGCAGTTTGTTACTTTGACCGTTTTATAAAATAAATAGAGCATGTTCCTATAGATTCCGATTGAATAAAATTTATATTCTGTTTAAGACAAATATATTGTCTAATGAAACTAATATAAATGAAGATATTTTTAATATCATTTTAAATTAGTTTCATTAAATCATTAATGATAAAAAAAAAAAATTCCAGGTAAAATTCAATGTCATCGACATTAGTATACGCTTTTCTAACTTAGACATGTATATAAAAATCTGTATGTATTTTTAGTCAATTTTTCTAGTTTATACAACGACAAAAAAAACAAAAGGTTGAAAAAAACATACTACTATAAAATTTTGATTAGCATGATATTCTCATAGTAATCGGAGTGTTATTTTAAATATTAATCACAATAATTTTCTTACATATGTACAATTTTTTAAAGAATTATTTACAAGAATAAAAAAGCTCGTTTTGAACGATAAAATATCGAAAGAAAAAAACGATTATCAGATGAAAATTTTCTTTTGATCTATAAATGTTTTTAAATATTAATCTTTTGATTATGTTTTTTTTTGTTCTGTTGTTCTAGAACAAGAACATTTCTATCCTATTTCAATTAATCTTATTAAAAGCCAATTATTCTAGAATTTTCCTTACACAAAAATTAAAAAAAAAAATCAAGCAGGCTTAGTTTCATCAGTTAGGTAATTGGGTACTTACATTGAGATTTCAAAAAAGATTCATATATGCGTTTTAGAAAAAAAGATGAGGATTAAACAGGAAATCTATTACATAATTATTTATCACCAAATGAACGGCAAGAATAAATAGTAAAAATTTCGATACCAGAACAAGTACTTTGGAAAGCATCATGATACGAGTATTAACTCTTATTTCAGCAGATCTAAAATATTTGCAAGAAGAAAAAGTAATCAAAAGCAAAACATCGTTTTTTTTGTGTCTTAAAAATAATTTTACAACAAACAAACAAAATTTTATCACCTTTTGTTCTCTCTATTGAGGACATATGGGTTAAATTGTGTTTTTCACACATATATATTAAGTTAACATACATATGATAACAAAACAAACAGTGTGTTGAAATAAATAAAACAAGTAAATATACACAAATTTATTTTACAAACTTTTCCTTCTCTTCAAAAATAGTATAGATCAAAGTTTTTTTATTAACGAAATTTTATCTGCTTTCATACAATTCACGAAAGAAACGATAACCATTATTTCCTACTAAAGAAAATTGATAGAACATGTTGAATCTATATACAATAAGTATAGTTATTTAGGTATATTTAGAATTAAATCTTATCATTAATTTTAATTTGATACAATTACTATTTATCTTTGCATAAGATCGATCTACTAAAATTTTTCATCATCGAATTGAATACATGTTAAAATGCACTTCTAATATTTTATTTGATTTTTTAGAATATTACTCGATAAAAAAAATTCGAATTATTTTAATCTATTTTGAAATCAATATTGGAAGAAAATCATGATTTTTTATAATGTTTGATCAATAGTTTTCAAGTTTGAAAAATCTGAATCAGTAATCGATTTCTCGGTCAAGAGCTTTTGACGCATCGAGAAATCAAATATACAATTTCAAGAACCATTTACAGATTCGAATTTCTTGTCTCCGAAAACATTTGATCGAACTTCATCATTTATTTTGGAAAATATTGATAAATTTAAAAATTCTTCGTTATATATCACTCAAACGAAAACAAAGAGTGATTTTGAGATATCTTCAGGGGAATTACCGAAGGAAAAGAGAGTTGATTCTAATCCTACAGAATCATCTTTTTTTTATTCACTAATTCATAAAAAAGTCTTCTGATCGATTTCTCAATCCTGGCGACTTTCAGACACTGCTGCCACTTATTTCTTGTACTCAAATTTTACTAATTTCCTTTCATAATCGATTAAATTTCATTCAAAGTTAAAAATCTCTTGTTTCTCATTGTATTGAATAATAATTTGTCTTCAATAATCTTTAGTATCAGAAGACAGAAAACAAAAAAAATGAGTATCCATATTGTATAATGCTCACTAGCGCACCCTTTCGTACCGTTAATGAAAAAGAAAAAAGAAAGAAACCTAAGTATTCACACGCATTGGACGAACAAGAATACAAGCGCTATTAAACAAAGAACACATACATATATACATAGGCATCATAAGACGAAGAAGAAAAACAGAAGTTCATCTTTTGTTTTTCTTCGTAATCGATCTTTTTTTTTGTGTTTTTTTTCGTCATCGATTAGTATACTTCATAATAATAACGTCGCAGTTTATTTAAGATTCGAGTAAGAATTAAAAAAATTATGAGAAATAAATAAATAAATAAATAGCTATTGTATTTAAAGATTATGAATTCGAATCGAAATGTACTGCGTCCAACACATAATCGACTTCCACTTAAAGATGTATCATCAGATAAAATATTAATTACAAATAAAACAAAATTATGTACTAATACATCTTTACAACAACAAGAAAATGTTATTCCAATAACATCACGACAAATTCTTACTGCAACACGTTCAATAAAAAAATATCTTAAAGAAAATGATAATGATGATAATCGAATGCATATTTCACCAATGGTTACAACTATTCATAAAGCGAATATTGTTGTTTTATCAAAACAAACAATATTTGAAGAAAATAAAACTCGTGAACAACTTGAACAAGATTTATTCGTTTTGTAAGTCAATTTTTTTTTATGCATATATATTAGTGAGCAAAGAAAGCACTAGGATTCTGCTCGAAGCATTTCAAAACTTTTGTTTTATATTTTATGAATTTCAAGTAAGCTTCGGATAAAGCATAGAAAATTGATCATGGTCGATATAAGTAATCCACGGAATCTATATTCTTAAGGAAAAAAATGCCATTTTTGGCAACATGTTCTAGGATCTGTTGAACTCCTAATCTTTTTCAATATCATATTACGAGGAAAATCCTCTAACTGATTATTCGCTTGACTATGTGCATTATGTAGACTCAAATGAGTTATGAATACTCTGAAAAGGGTTCGCGCTCTTAACTTATTGCTGCAGAAATATTGGAATTTTTATAGTATTTTTTAAATGAATGTCATGGTTCCTCGGGAACATGAGAAAGACGGGTTTTCAACTTGGAAATTTGCATAGAGGCAGATCTTAAAGAGAATAAGTTTTTCTGAATATTTCAGATCTTATTGGTGTTCCTGTCCTAGGATACAAGTATAGTAATATCGTGTCTTTTACATTGCTCATATAGATAGTCAGATTTGATGTTCTTATTTCAGGATAGAAACAATTCAAAAATGAATTTTCCTGATGTTTCTGAAGAGGTTACAGTATTCATTTAAAAAAATACCATGAAAGAGTGCGGTATCTTCGTAGTAATAAGCTAAGGACATGAACTCTTTTCAGACTATGCATAATTTATTGTGGTCTATATAATGCACATTCTCAAGCGATTTGTCAGTTAGAGAACTTCTCATAAGGATCATCGAATTTTATTTTCAATAAACAACTCTCCTATTTGATAGTAGTCATTACTGAAAATCAATTACTTGAAGAATTTGATTATTTTTTAATATCTAGGCCTGATTATCGTTTATCAATTTTTGAACATTTAAAATCAGTAGAACATATTTATGCTCCTAGTAAGTATTTCTTAAACATATATATATTTTCTCAAACTTTTTGTCAACTATTCAAAGAAGTTAACTTTATGGAATATCAATCAGATATAAATTCAGCAATGCGTACAATTCTTATCGATTGGCTTATTGAAGTAGCTGATGAATATAAATTAAATGATGAAACACTTTTTCTTTGTGTACAATATGTTGATCGATTTTTATCAACAGTTAATGTAACACGATCAAAATTACAATTAGTTGGTTAGTATTCAAATGAAGAAGAAAAAAATATTTAATCAATTTTATTTTTTTTTTATTATAATATAGGTACAACTTGTATGTATGTAGCATCGAAATATGAAGAAATGTATCCACCAGCATTAGATGAATTTTCATTTATTACGGATAATACATATGAAACAAAACATATACTTCGTATGGAACAAATTATTATGAAAGTAAGTTTAGAATAATTAATGAATATTGTTTAAATACATTTGAGCGTCATGAGTAACTAACAAATGTATACTTATGAGGAAACATTCCCAAGTGTCTCACTTCGATTTCATTTGTTTATATATCATTCGATAGAGCATCTCAAGTAGGTAAAAGGGTTTCGGCCGACACCTTTTTTTTCAAGAGTTACGATCAATTTTCTGATTTTTCCAACGAAAACTAACATAAAAAGAA